CAGCTTTCTCTGTCCCCTTCCCCCACTGGCCTGATCTGCCCCCATCAGTGCAGGTGGCCAGACCCCATCCATGCACGAATTTGTGCACCAGACCTCTAGTAAAGTCATATTTGTAGATCCAGATTTCTTCATAGGCAGGTCTTAGGGTGCACATTTACAGAGAGATAGGCCCCAGTCTCATTTTCAGTCTAGTTTTAGTAGGGATCCCTGCATTGTGAGGGATATTAGATACTTACTTGACCTGATAATAAAGATGATGCTCTAATGAGACGCTCATTTTGTTCCCTGTGTCTATTTTCATTTGGTTAGAACCTGGGTGACTGATATTCTATGGCCTTCAACACTCATGACCATAAATTCAGAAAGACTGCAAACATCATGATATGCTTGGTGCCTGGGTTTCCTCAGGAAGACAATGAGAGGCAGAGTTTGTGCCAAGTAGGTGTAAGGAGACAAACAAATGAAATGCAGAAGGTGAAAACTTGGTCTTCTTTTTAGATATCTAGTATCTTCACGTTCTGTAACCTGAAGCTGTTGACTTCTATCCCACAGCCTATCAGTCCCAGTAACTGCAGAGCTCGACATAAAGTAGATATTTTCCAAACCCACTCCCTAAATCACAGGTTTATCCTCTCCTAGCTCTGCTGATAACTTGATGCTGTAAAACATCATCATTTTCTCTTCCTCAGTGGAAACAGACTTTGGTATATAATTCTAAGATTGATCGAGATCGATGTTCCTTCCATTTATGTTTCCAAAGGCTTTTTTTTTAATGGGTGTGAAAACACTTCTATACTTGTTTTGTCTTTTGCTTTATCTCCTTTTTCTAGCCTCAATCCCTAGTACCTCTTTTTATTAATCCAAGAGGAGTGACTTGCAATATGTGTATATTGGAGTAATAATTCTCAACTTGCCAAAAAGTATACACAATTAGATCTGTATATATCAGTTTTATAATAAGGGTTTCAGAGGTTTTTTTAATAATATCTACCTCATAGGGTAGATATCATGTGGTTATATATAATATATGTTATGTGTACATAAATATAGTAAAACTCAAGGCCTGTTACACAAAATTCGTGCACGGCCTGGCCGGTGATCAGGGCTGATTTGTGGAACAACCGGTAGGGCAATTGGGTGGCCCCTGCCCACATGTGCCTTGGCTGGACTAGGGCCTGTGGGTTGGGGGCAGCTCCTGCGTTGAGCATCTGGCTCCTGATGGTCAGTGTGTGTCATAGTGACTGGTCATTCTGCCTTTTGGTCAATTTGCATATTAGGCTTTTATTATATAAGATTGTGTTATTATGCAGTAGGAATGATACTAGATTCTTTACTTTCTCTCATTTAATTCTGACAGGTACAGGTGTGTGTGTGTGTGTATAATACAATAATATCCTACATAATAAAAGGCTAATATGCAAATAGACCAAACGGTGGAACAATCGAACAGCAGAATAACCAGTCGCTATGATGTGCACTGACCACTAGGGGGTGTGTGTGGAACATGGCGGGTGTCGGCTGCGACAAGATGGTGGAGCAGGTGAGCGGGGGCACCAAACCAAGGCGGGGCACCTGTTGCTGTCATTGGGGTGAGCCTCCGGTGGCTACTAAAAATGCTTTGCTCCTGCGCACCACGGTCCTGCCTGGCGCTTGCACCTGATGCTGGCACTTGTACACGCTTCTGGTGCCTGGCGCCAGTCCTGATTGCTCAGCACCATCAGTGGGTGTGAGTGGAGGCTGCCAACCCTGATTGCCCCTGAGGCTTCTCCATCTCCCCCTGCTCCTGAGGGGCGATCAGGGCAGCAGTTGCTGCTTGCACCCACTGACGGCACCGACCCCACTTGCACCTGCTGCTGGAGCCGGCCCCAATTTCTCTGCACTGTCAGTGTGTGGGAGCGGCAGTGGGAGCAGGGCTGCTGGCAGACAAGGGACCAGGGACTGTGGTGAGAGGGGCTGGACGGGGGCACAGAGGATGGGCCAAGATCTGCCCCTGTGCCTACTGCAGCCATGTGGCCCACAGTTCCTTCCAAGGTGCACGAATTCGTGCACTGGGCCCCTAGTATACTATATATACAATTATATATACAGTATGTAATGAGAAAAAGAATCTAGTATCATTCCTGGTATATAATATGCACTTACAACTGTTATTAATATTGAGAATAAGGAACAGAGATTTTGATAAAACTATTCAATTAGAAAAACCTGGAGAATAGATAATTATTTTTTTTTGTAATTAAAAACAGAATAGAAATTGATCACAAATCTATCCCATGCTTGATTTACAGCTTCAATTATGCATATGACTTAAAGGACTTAGACCATATGTCATCCTAAGCACAGAATATTAGGGTTGGAAAGGCCAGTGAAGACCATCAGGCACAACTTCTTCATTTCACATATTTCACATGCATACAAACTGAGATCTAATTAATCCCCAAGACTTTCTGGCTATTTCCACCAGATACAGATGCAAAATATCTTAATGAAATCTGATGTTTAAAAAAAAATCTGGAGGTGTTTTTTGTTTGTTTGTTTTTTGCCTCTTCAGATTTTTGGAAGTATGTTTTCACTTTTAATTTGCATGTTAGTTAGCATGCAGCAAAGCCTTTCTCCTTTTCAACAAGAAGCTATGATGTAACTAAAAACAAAGAGTTGGGAGTTGGAAAACTGCTCTGAGTATCAGATACTGCCTGGAACTGTGGAACTGATCCTTAGGGTAAGTCACTACTAATGGTTTCCCATTGGGAGTTGATTCTCATAAGACAACTCAGGAGCCTCCTGATCACTAACTCAGCCATGATTACATGTTGCATGTGAAAACTGGGGGTGATTTTTAGCTCTGAGCAGTTGAATACTTATAGCATATTTTAGAAAAAGTGTGTTTTGCTTAGGTGACAACATTAGGAAAATGGCAACTTTCAAAATGAAATCAATGGCTTGCTTCTTTAACTGGTCTGGTTAATCCCATTATGTCAAGGATCATGTTATTATCACATATAATATCATCTTATCATTAAAACAGGTTCTAAAACATAAGGAAACAAGCAAAAAACACACTAGTTCAAAATCTACTTCCTTCAGGAAACCTCCCACGAGTAATCATAATTTACCTAATACTTTGAACCTTTCTATTGAAATCACAGAATACTGAATTCCATAAAAAAATTTAAAAATATACTTGTGCTGTTACTTATTACTAAACATCTTTTAAGTCTTCCCCAGTTCTCTATTTAAAATCTCTGCTGATAGCAGGCAGCCCTGGGTTTGAACCTTGGCTAACTTTCTAGCTGCAATGATCCTGGAATAGTAAGTTTCCTCATCAGTAAAATCAGGATAAAAATGGTACTCATCTCCCGGGGATGGCTATGAGGGCTGAGATAACATATGGAAAGGACTTAGCAGAGTGTGTGGTACATAGTAACTACTTATCAAATGCCCGTGCTCATTATTGCCTGTCCATTTTCTTTTCTCCTGGAGGCGGTAAGGTATATTAGGAAGAGCCTGGGCTGCGCAGTGAGTCAGTTCTGGTGTTCAGTTGCCACCACTTCCTGAGAAATTGAATTAACCCTTTGTGCCGCTACTTTCTCATTTCCCAAATGGACATGCTGTAGTCATATCCAGTTCCCCGGGTTGCTGAATGCCTATGATGTCCCTTTACTCCCCAATGCATTATGAAGTGTACCCCAAGGGCAAGGCAAGGTGTCAAAAGAAGTTTCAAAAGAAAATAAACGCACGGTCTCCACTGTGGGCATGGAGAGCATCTCCCAAAACCAAGTCAGCCACTCACAGTGAAGTGCTGATGACACACGCACATCACAGTGGGTCCCCCCTCCATGCCCCTTCATATTGTGCCCGGTATTCGGTGAGAGCCCCCTTTTCCTGGTATATTTTCACAAGTCAGCAGATCCTCAGAGCCCTAGCCAAACCGGAACAGTCACAGCAATAGGATAACACAAACCCCTTCTTCCTAACCCCGGGCTGGTCTCAGCCGCCTCGGGGCGGTAGGGCTTAGGGCGAGGCCAGCCGCCTGCAGGAGGACGGGAGCCTGGCGGAGGCCCCTTTCCGGCGTCCCCGGCCTCCCGTGCCCGCCATGGAGGGTTTTCCTCGAGCGTGGTGACCAACCCGAGGCGTGGCGGCGGCCGGGAGAACTCCAGTCCTCACACGGTTAACCTTCTCCCGAGGCGCCCGGAGGAGGGAGAAGGGTGGGTCCCCGCCCACGAAAAACGAGGATCAC